CGCTAGTTTTCTGATGAGAATTTTCTCTTTCTCCATTCCCGGGCTGTGTTTCAACAACAATCTCGAGGAGGACTGGCACCAGTTTTGGAGGACAACGCAGGAAACGGAAGGCACTCATCATTTTGCCTTTGTCGAATGGACGACGGTAAGTTTTTTTTACATTTTACTCTATTATTTTCAAATATTATTTATTTGCCATTATTTCAATTTTATAACTTTTTGCTTCTAAGATTCTAACATTCATTTACTACTAAGCTAATAAAAATAACTTGTCTACAGACTGATGAGAGGTGGGCAGTGGTGGGCGTCAGCACGTTTCAGATGGTGGTCTCATGATGATCGTTCCGATAACAACTCGAAGAAAACAACAACGACGATTTTTGAAGTATGGTTTAGTTTCGTTGTTTTTATTTTTTTCATTCATCCATTAATTGACTCATTCTATTCATTCATTGAATCATAGATTGGTTAATTAATTCATTCAATCACTCAATCATTCGCTCAATCATTTATTCGGTTGTTCTTTCGTTTTAACATTCATTTACTACTAAGCCAATAAAAAAAATTTGTCTACAGAATGATCAGAGGTGGGTTGTGGTGGGAGCCAGCACGTTTCATGGTGGTAATCTCATGGTAAGATAAGTTGCTTCTTACTTTTTTTCAATGGCTTGTTTTTTATTTTAAAAAATTAACTTTTTCTTTCAATTTTGTTTTTCAGTATCCGGTAAAATTCATTTTCTCGGTGCGTGTCAGATGATGGTCGGTGCAATGGAGGTTCGTCCGTAGTGGGTGAAGAAGTTTCTGAAGGGTACGCGCGCGCACATTTACATACACGCACACACATAAATACAACACACACATACACAACATCCATTCATTCGGTGTCGTTGTTATGTTTCTCTTCAACTTTCTATTTTCTTTACCGGACTTAATTTAATTCATAGGTAAGTTAGGGATTGAGATGAGTTGAACAACTGTAGGTAGGCTAGGGCTTAACATTAGTTAAAAAGTTTCAAGTAAAATATTAACATTAACATAAATTAAAAGCTTCAAGTAAAATTAAAACGTTAAAATATGTAAAATAAATGAGTTGAGTTATCATTACAGGTAAGCTAGGGCCCTGAGTGTAATTTAATTGTAGGTAGGTGACTGACTACTATTCTTGCGACTTTTTAATATTTTTTTTTTGTGGTGTGTTTGTTTTCGCTTCTTAGCACCACACAACACCAACAAAACAAACTACAATTTTTTTTGTCGTCGCCTTAAATTTTACCATTTTTGAACAATCTTTTTAATAATGTCTATTTATTTATTTGTAAAATGTTGACTTGTTTCTAGTTTCTTATTTTGGTTATATAATTTTTGGATATTTCCTGATTTACTTTGTATATATGCATGCATGAATAATTTCTGTTTGGTATGTTGATTTAGTCATTATGATATGCTGTGAACTGTCCTTACTAAATATTCATGTTTCGTGATAATTATTTTTTATCGATCGATATTTTGTTATATTTGTTTGTTTAAAATCTGAACTTTTTAAAAAATTAACATTTAACAAATTTTAATTTCGTCACTTTTCATCTTTTGATGATGTCAAATAAAAGCAACTGTTGTGTTTTTCTTTTCTTACTAAAATCTCGAATACAAACATGTACAAAGAGACAAAGACACACATACATACAAACATACATACATACTGCCATCATATATACGCAGTACAATAAACATTCATGTCATTTCTGTCAATGTATTTTAAGTATGTTATACTGTTAATCTTGTTAACTATGAAGACGATCATCATCATCATCATCACAACCATCATCAACGAACAACAATAACAACAATATAATAATAATTACAACAACAACGAAATAAAAATAGTTGTTCTCATTATGCATTTCAAAATCTTGCATTCTTCTTTTAATACAAGAGTTATATATATGTGTGTGTGTGTGTGTGTGTGTGTGTGTATGTATGTATGTGTGTGTGAGTTTGTTTGTGTGTGGGTGTGCGTGTATGTGTATTGTATATTTTTATCTATTTATTGAAACGTTATTTTTTACGCATACCCTTGTCTCATTCTCTCTCTCTCTCTTTCTTACTTTATATATATATATATACATATATATATATCTTTATATATATACATATATATATATATACACATATGACTGGCTGGCTGGCTGACTGACCGACCGACCGACTGACTGATTGTTTGATTGATTTATCTCATAGTATTGTATACATGAGAAAAAATCCGATTAAGCCAACCTACGGCTTCAGTAAGCCACTGTTTTTCACCTGACAAAAGCAATTTCTATATTTATATTGACAAAAATAATTGTGATATGAATATATTGATTTATTTAAAGCATTATATGTACAAAAAAGTGCTATCGTAAGAGTTCTATGAAACCCTGTAAGCCACTGCTGTAAGCCAACGTATGATTTCAGCAGCCAGTTTCTTATGAGCACCAGCAGAATGTAAAATATTCATTGAATATAATGAAGATAGTTGTTCAAATAACAATTTTGATTTATCTAGGCCGTTTATTTCATAAGCAAACCAATTTTTAACATAATCGAATAGTGTAAAAAAAAGGGTGACTATAGTTCAATCCTACTAAGCCAATCTTCGGCTTCAGTAAGCCACCGGATTTCACCGGACCAAAAGCAATTTTTATATTCAAATTAACAAAAATAATTTAATAATACATAATTCTATTAACCATTATTAAAATTAAATAAAATTACTACAATGTTTTAAGCATATTAAATCAAGTAAATATCTCATTAAGCTTGCTCGTTAAAATCCATGCAATTTCGTAAGCCAACAATCCAAGCACGACAAATAGCCCGACTGATAGATCGAATTGATCGATTAGTCCTATTATTCTAGTTATGTGGTTTGGAGCAAGGGGAGACATTTCTGAAAAAAATTAAAAGTTGAAAAAATTGAGGTTTTTTGCATATCTCTGCTTCAACCCATAAGAAGGTGTTGTATGCTGGTAAATAGGCCTCCCCTTGCTTTGTATCCGTTGAGAAATGTTATAGTTCAATTTCTAAAACTAAATGGATCTACCCGCCGGTTATGAAGTAAAAATTTTAAAAAATAAGCGGTTTTTTGAAGAATTTTAATTTTTAAATGTTAATGACTTTAAAATTGAAAAACATGAATGAAAAACGTTTAACGAAGAAAAGAATAATTTATACAACATAATGTTATAGTTCAATTTCTAAAACTAAATAGATCTATCCGCCGATTATGAAGTAAAAATCATGGAATTGTATAACTGGAAGCGCCCTACCAGCGTTTTAACATTGAAAATATTTTCAACGGCAAGTTACCTCTGGAAGCAAGTTTCTAAAAATTAATAATTTGTTTTAAAAGTGAAACTATCTTTTTAACAGATACGTTTAAAATTTTGTTACACATTTTGTAATGTATCATATTTGTATAACTTTATAGAAGTTTTGTGGTTTTTCTAGTAAAAATTGGTTTAAAATTTTTATTTTAAACTTTTATTTTAAGCTTTTATTATTTAGTTTAACTTTTAGTTGTACCGTGGGAGGAACTAATGAGTCTCTTAAAACTGTTGACTATAAATAAATATTGCTGGAAAAACCACTTTGCCGTCTCCGAGATTACCTAAATGTTAAAATTACGATTTATTTTAAAATAAAATTTACTTAGCTTCGAGTTTTATAGTTTATAAAAAAATATAATTTAATAATTAATTTACAATTTACATTGAAAAATTAGTAGTCTACCTCTACCTACTTCAAACAATTTTATTCCTTTCCCTAATAAATTTCTGAAGTCATCATGGCTGCGGCCGCTCAAACGTCTGAAATTCGTACTTTTATCAAAGGAAATGCCACCAAATACGTCAAACTGAACGTTGGAGGTACTCTTTTTACTACAACTATTGCCACACTGACGAAACATGACAGTATGCTCAGAGCCATGTTCAGTGGCAGGCTTGAGGTCCTTACAGATTCAGAAGGTTCTCTAGCTAGAGTTCAATTTTTATTTTATTTCTTTTGGTTTTACCTGAAAATTACATTTAATTAACAATATGAAATATCACGGTTACTGGTGAAGTGATAAGCCAGATAAGCTTTTAAGTTTTTCATTTTTAATAACTAATAGTAATAATATATTAAAAAACTTGAAATAAATAAAAATGATCGAGAAAAAAAGAGTTAAAAAATGCTGTTCACCAATGAATAATTTATTTCTTGTTGAATAAAGTATATTATATCTGATGTACTGATCTATTTGATAGTTCTTTAGTTCTTACACTTTTAATTAATTAGGTAAAATATTCAAAAACAGGCTGGGTCCTGATTGACAGATGTGGCAAGCACTTTGGCACCATACTTTCCTTTTTAAGGGATGGCACTGTTCCTTTACCTGAAACTAAGAGGGAATTAATGGAACTTCTGAAGGAGGCAAAATATTATTTGATTCAAGATTTAGTGAATATTATCGAGACACAATTGAAACCGCCATTGAAAACTTCCCAAGAGTTGGAGCCATTTTGTAGAGTGCCGCTGATAACCTCACTGAAGGAAGAGCAAGCATTGATAGCATCAACTGCAAAGGTTGACTTGATGGGATAATTAAATATTTTTAATGTTACAAAATTTTAATAACTTATTATTAATAGTTTTTTCATTTCTAAAAATTATTTTAGTAAATTTAAAAAGTTGTTGTATAAACATTTTACCCCATCAGCCTATTATAAAACTCCTTTGTAACAGACACAACAACAAGTATTCTTACACAAGGTTTTCTTAAATTATATTTTTAGATAAACTATTAAAAAATACTTTATTAAAAAATACTTTATTAAAAAATACTTTATAGCATTTTTATTTTTATAGGCTTTCTTCAACAAATAAGCCTACCAACTATAGACTAGTCTAGCCATGTATGTATAGTTGATGATTTTTTAATTTCCCAGCAACTCAGATGATAACATTTTAAAGAATGTAGAACTCTTTGACAAACTTTCATTACGTTTCGGTCAGCGCATCCTTTTCATCAAAGATGTCATAGGCTGTCAAGAAATTTGTTGCTGGTCATTCTTTGGTCATTCAACCAAAATTGCAGAAGTTTGCTGTACGTCCATTGTTTATGGTACTGATAAGAAACATACCAAGGTATTTTTTTAACTTTTTCCATCGTAGTTAAAGTGGTATGTTCTGGCTTGTATTGGGAATTGGTTCACATCATGTTCATCTAGGGCTTTAAACTTTTTTGTATTTATTTTGTTATATTTTTATTTGGCATCAAAATGTGTTTCTATTCAATGTAAACCAAAGGTGGAGTTCCCAGAGGCACGCATATATGAAGAAACTTTGAATATTCTGCTGTATGAGAACAGGGATTCTCGACCGGATGCCGAGCTCATCCAAGCCACCAAGACCCATCCAAAGATCATGGATAGCGATGATGACTTGGATGAAAGGTTGGAAAGAGGGGATAGGCCATCCACAACAAAAAGAAAGTGAAACTGCAGATTACAGGAATCATGGTGGCCTATTTAAGTGGACCAGGAAATAAAATAATAAATGTTTAAATTGAGCCTTGGAGGAAAATATAGTGTTTCAAATATAATTGCTTTTATTTTTTATAAAAAAAATAGTTTTTCCAGTCAAATGGAGCTAGCTACAATATTTTCTTTGTACCGTTTTCAAAATCGGTAGCCACATCACTTCGATAACTAAACCAACCACTGCATACATTTATTTTGCATTACCTATTTACATTATTCCAATATTGTACGTATCACTATCATCAAAAAGATGTTAATTATTATTTTTGTTGTTTTAGTTAATGTAACTTGCATTTATCACTAAACATGATTCGTTCTGTCACTTGTTTCAATAAATACTCATTTATTCATTCATTTATTTATTTAAACAAAAAATATAAAATAGAGAAATTGAGAAATTCTTTCTCAAGCTCTCCGTTGACCTTTGTTCCAATGTTTAGTGTACAACCCACATTAATCCTGAATATTAAAAGTACTCTTATAACTGTGGTTCAACCAGATAAAACGTTCAAATAATTGACAGTTTATTTCAGAAAATGTCTGTAGTTTGCATAGTTCAAATTAAGATGTATGTCAGTGGTGTTAGTGTTGCTTGATGCTTAGTGAATGTCGACATGGAAGTTACAGCGATTAACTAACTCAATTGGATATTAAAATTTGGTCATTTTAACATTACAAAATTTTTACCTGGTCAGAACAAAACTGCAAAACAAAAAGCAGAGACGCGTTGATAGGACAAAACGTTGTTGCGTTCACAACGTTTCAACATTCACGGAATTTCAAATTAAATTTTAATATTACAATTGGCATTAATTTTGCGTCTAATTTGAAAAAAAAACTGAATAAATATTAACAAAGATATTCACATAACTAGTGAAGAAATAAACCAAAAAAAGATTTAACGGTAAAATATTTAACCAGACAACAAAGCATGAAAATGATGAAAGATAGTTATGGTTCAGTGCATGACTGCGATCTGTAGAGCAGGTAGGAGCAATTTGAGAGATTTCCTGACGAAGTTGCGACTGTTGCCTGCCTCCAGGTACACTGATGTTATGTAGTCGTCGGCTGTGGCAGCAGGAGAAGTTGAAGCACCTCCAGCTGCTTCCTCGGATGCCAGGATCTGCTTGCGAACATTTCGTGAGTTAACGTTGGACAAGTTGGTTGTACACAAAGGACACACATAATTTTTGTGTATATAATTTATAATTTGATCATCATGTTATTTATTTGCAATTAAAAACAAAAGTAAAGAATCTAAATTGAATTGTTAATAAGAGAGAAATAATACTTACGTGGTGAGAGCCAAGAATGGAGACAAATTTAGCAGCTGTAATTGTTAGCTCTTTTCTCAAAACTTTCGAAAAGCTGGTGAAATTAAATTTATATATATATATATATATATTATTGAATGGATACTAAATGCACCATTTCGTATATGAAAACTTAATTACTACTAAATGAAATAGTAACGGTACAGAATAAATTTCAGCGATCAATCAATTTGGACGCTCATTAATAATACCATTTTCACAATATCATTACAGATGTAATGGTAATAACATTAAGAGAGCTAATGTAATAGCATTAAAAAATACTCCATCCAACCAACCAAACGATTATCGAAGCAGTCTCCAAAGCAGAAACATTGGCAAACGGATTAACTGTAGCAACATTTGGTGATGAAGATGGAGATGAAGATGCGGCTGCAGATGAATCTGATAATGACGATTCATCTGCCAACGACCTCATGATGATCTGGGCCAATTTGTGATAGTGGTAGATGGATGAAGCTGTTATCTTGGCCAAGCACTGCATTGCTTTCTTTAATATCTCCTGGAAAATGTATTATTTCATTTTTCGTTAATATTAAAACCACCATTGTAATTATGATAATGGTTATCTCCTGGTCAAGTAGATTATCCTTCCATTATCACCGTCATCTTCATCACTATCGCCACACATCATCAGTCATCACTTCACGCACCACCATCATCACCTTGGCATCAGTAGATTTCATATCAGGGGACTTCTCATTCTCATCCAACCACTTCTTTGTTTCTTCATGACACTGAAGAAAATGCCGATCACCAATGATAACGTTCGTGAAGATGTCGATAATGTTATTTAATAAAACAAAAATAAAAAAATTGCTCACAAGACATACACACACCACATACACACATACACAGGACACGCAGCCCATAACTTTGAATGACATTAAAAAAATTGATGGTGATGACGAAAATGAAAACGAAACTAATAAAAACAAAAATTATAACAGCAATAACCAAAAAACAACTGCAATGAAGATGCTGCTACAATAATGCGTCATTTTATACAGTACCCTACACCTACCTCAACCAGCCTATGGAGACTTATGTTGAAGGGTAACCTGGAAGCATATTCCACCAAAAGATGATGAAAATCATGAAATGAAACACCTGATTATAAAAATTGTGTATCATAATTCAATTATGAGTACTTAGTATGCAAATAAGTGAACGTGTGTGTGTGTGTGTGTGTGTGTGTGTGTGTGTGTGCGTTGCAGATGTGTGTATGTGTGCGTTGCAGGTGTGTGTGTATGTGTATGCAACTTCTAGACATTTATTTAGTTGTGTGTGCGTGTGTGCGCGACTGCGTGTGTAGTAAGAATGTGAAATCCTTCACATTTATTACGTTTTGTGTGCGTGTTTGTGTGTGTTTGTGTGTTGGTCTGCTTTTAAGTTTGAACATTATTCAATTTAAGAACTTTCATCCTTTAATTTAACTTCTAATATAGAAGAACGAACTTTCAGCGTCGGCACGTCCACTGTGATCTTCATCATCTTCGTCTTCCTCCTCCTCATCATCATCGTCACTACCATCCATGATTTTCTTGAAAATGCTGTTGAGCTCTGACAACTTGCTCTTCAATGCCGGCAGATCATCCCTGCTGGCGCCATCGTACACCTCACGAGATTTTATTTCGTTCTCCCGGCAGAGAAGTTCAAACGCTTCCAACTGCACCAAACCTGGATACGACGGAGGTGAAGATGATGAAGATGAGTGTGATGGCGACGAGACGAAAGTAATATTTTATGGTTATGATATGAACTTTATGTTATGAGGTTCTATGATGGTGGCCTAGGAAACGGCTAATGATAAAAAGGATTATATCAATATTAATAGGACAACATAAACAAGTAAACAAACAAGCAAGCAAACAAACAATGACACCATCTAAAATACTACCTTGGTACTCATCAAACCAGTACCCGTAATGATACTTTTTGGATTCGAGTAAGGATTCCTCCTCTTTCATTTTCATCTCTGCTATCTTCCTGGCTTCCTTCAAGGCCTGGCCATCAAAAGCAAACAGCATAATAAACAAATAAAAATGAAAAATGTCAATTCCGACTATCAACAAATTTGTAATCAACAAAGCAATCATTCAACCATCTGAAACAACCATTCAACCATTATAAACAATCATTCAATCATCCGAAACAATCACTCAATGACAAAAATCAACCACTCGGTAAGTCTATGAAATGAACAACCGACCAGCCAACCAATAAACTGACAACCACAAACACAACGAACCAATGAGAGATCAGGCATCTGTTTATTCTCCCTGTTTTTCCTGATAACTTGCTTCAAGCCATGATCACCTTCCGTCAGCACGTCGTACGTCTTCTTGCCAATGGTCTCCAGCACATCCAGGCCGCTGTGGACCACCTGAGTTTTCGTGGCAGTAGTATTAGATAGTAACAGTAACAGCAGTAGTTGTAGTCGTAGCTGCAGCATTAATGGAAGCGGCGATGTGAATACTTTTATGATGGTGGAGTTGTTAGTAGCACAAGCAGTAACAGAAGTACAGTAGTATTGTAGGTGGTGGTCTTAACAGTAATAATTCATCTTTGTGAAAACAGTGGTAGAATTAAATAAACTAGCAGAGTCAGAGCAGGGTGAGAGCAGGGTCAACTGATGTGATGACAATCAAGATGGGTAAAAAAAAAATAATAATTTTGTTGTTTAAAAAAATAAATCAAAGCTTGGCAATGGACCCTCACAAAGGAATTTTCTCGGTTATGCCTGCAACATTGAGGCATCCTAACATCATAGAGCCTGCTCAAATTCATCATTGAATCATCTGAATCCAAAAGTTACAACATAATGAGAAACAGAGGAACGACTCATGCTAGCAACTCATAATATTAATAAATATCTAATTATCTTGATCATAATGAGCCAAAAGCAAGATAGAGAAACAACAATGATAGATATGTTACTACAAGCCATGGCAGAACTGAAAATAATACTAATGCACACGTAGGTGCATAATGAAATAAAGATTTATCATATTAAATTATTTAAAAAACTCACAACATTTGTGGTCCTTTGAACTGCAGATGTGGTTTTGTTAACCACAGTTGTCAGACTTGACCACAAGGATGAGGTCAAAGAACCACCAGCATCTTCCTTCTTCTCCAGTTCTTCAGCATCAGCATCCTGATTGCTGTTGCACTTATCCTTGGTGTCATCATCACCCCTGCTCATCACACTGTCTGGTTCGTTGTCTTTGCTGTTTAGTGCCTTGCAGTCCAAAGTCGGATCAATCCCTTTCTGGTCTGTTATTGGTTCTTTGCTTTCTAAATCTTTTTTAGCTTCTGAATTTTCAAAATTATAAATCAGTTTCATTAATAGTTAAGTTATTAAATAAATAATTAATCAAATACCTTCTTCAAATGTATTTTCAGGATCTTTTTGAGACAACAAACCCGACTCAACTGTTTCCAGAACTTGAAACAATCCATCACCTTTTTAAATACACAAGATCATTTCGTAAAAATTTATAAACCTTTACATTTGTAACCTAGGTCTGAATACTGACCAACTTGTGTAGTGAATGTGGTAACAGAACTGGCTGCCTCATTGATCATAGATGTCCCCCACAAACTCAAACCTTTCCATGACCAGGCCTTTTATTCAAAATATTAAAACATGCTGTTTTCATGTTTCAATTAACGATTTAACATAATTCAATTAAGAAATTAACATAATTCGTTAATATGACATTTACAATTTTTGTAAACTACTGATAATTGGTAATAGCTGACTTAATCATACATAATTTAAATTTATAACAACATTTGATAACAACAAATTGTGGATACATTTATTGTTGATACCTGCATTTTGGATATATTTATTATGGAAACATTTATGAAAGTTGAGATATAATACAACATAAAATTGTAATACAAATAAGGAGATAAGAAAATCAATAAATTTTAAAGTTAGGAACATAAAAATAAGTAGAAGTAACTGCTATCCAATTTATATTTTATTTGAAGAAAATTATTTAGCTAGGCTGGAAAGTTTAAAAAAGATATTTTACACCTTACAGCTACAAAGACTAAACATAATTTAAAGAAAAATGTAACACATGATAAATGAATAATATACAAAACCAAGTGAAGTTTCTTTTGTACTGTCCAGTTCACATTTGTACAAACACAAGTAAATGTTTTTCTTACCTCATTTTTAGAAAGATCTTTATCTTCTTCAAGTGGCGTTTTCTTTTCCAGTTCTATTTCCTTTTCATTAGCAATCTTCACTTCTTGCTTATCAGTATGCAACTTTGAAGCCCCATCGTCATGTACATGTTCATCTCCAGCCAGAGCAACTAACTTATTATCTTTCAGTGCAAGTTTCTCTTTTTTGGTACTATCATCTTGTTGTTGTACACCAACATCATCATCGTTTTCTTCTCTGTTCTTTCCAGTTTTTGTTGTTATGTCTCCAGCTTTGGGCCCAGTTTGAGCTGCAGGCTGATGAGGTTCCTTTCCGCTGACAATTTCTGCTTTTGTTGATGTTGAGGATGACACGTCTATAATTTCAGATTTTTGAATAAAATATTATTTATAAAGTTAGTTTGTAGTAAAAAGGTAAAATAAATAAAAGACAATAATAAACTGACGGCGCAATCAACATCAAATTATTAAATTGTTGATTAGATAATTAATAACAATGGGATGATAGTTGGCATTGTGATTTTGCATTTTTCGGCTTTGTTTAAACTTTAAATTTAAACTTTATGACAAGTTGAAAAAAATATTTAGTTGGGCCATCAGAAGTTAATGAAATTGTATTCCACCTGTTTCAACGTCTTGATCCTCCATTGACCGTCTAAAAATGTTAATTTAATAGTCACCAAAAATAAAACAAATAATTTTAATCGTAGTAGAACTTGGATAAACAACAACCGAACTAGCAAACAATTTATCTAGCGGTCACTTATTGGATTTGTAAGCATGTATTGTATATAGAATGTAGGTAAAGGAACATTTGTTGTTTCGTAACCTTATATAGAGAGAGATTGTAACATGTATTTGTGTTATTTATAATTAAAATATGATTACAATTTACGTTTGTGTGTGTGCTTTTTTTGACATTGTTAGGAAAATGACATTTCAGTCTATTTAACTAGATTGAAATATCAAGTTTTGTGACAATTTAATCATAATAAAGATTTAAGGTGTAAAATCTGAACTGGCGGAATTGTGTTGTGTATAAAAACGTCCCATGGAAGTTGAATTTTGGAATTTGACTGTCACACTTGAAGTAAACATAGACCTGGAAGTGTTTAAAAGTTATATAAAGACTAGTTTTGAGGCTACTTTATGATCGCCACTTGTTAAGTTATTATAATGAATGTTTGCTTCCAAATAAAGTTGGCGTTTGGAATAACAATTTGTACCAGTTCAAATCCCTATGAAGCAACAATATTGTAAATCATTTACTAGATCAGAATTAGTCCCACAAGCTGAGCTCTAAATTTTAGAAGAGAAAACACTTCATTAAAATTCTGCAGAATATATAGTCTATCATTGATAGAAATGATTAACAAACTACAATATTGATGGAATCATTTTTTAATCTCATGCGACACGCTGATTACGTATATTGTTATTGAGCCGTCGAAAACAATATTTTATTCTATTTTACTAATTCTCCTTTTCCCCTCACTTCTTCATTTTCGGTTTGCGTGTATGCATATGTATGCTGGCGTACGTTTGTGTATGTACCCTTGCCATGTACGAGTACGTGTATGTATGCGTATAAGTGTGCGTGTATGTATGCATGCATGTGCGTGTGCGTGTATGTGTGCATGTACGTGTGCGTTTATAATTGACGGCCACTAATCCAGAAGATTAATAAACATTTAGAAGAAGAACTACACATCGCTTCAGCGGCAGAGCGGATTAATTCCAACTCGATCATCATCCTCACCATCCTGATGATCATCCTCGTATCATCATAACCATCATCATCTTCATATAATCATCATTCTCATGGTCGACATCGTCAACACTTTCATTATCACCACTGTCCTCTTCATCGTCGTCGCCGTCATCATTTTCAACACTCCAGAGGATTAAGAAGGTGCTCAGTGTTAGATTTAAAACGTCTGTGATGATCCTGTGATCAAGGAGATAGATGATAATGATTAAATAATGATGATTAAATGATGATGACGAAAAAATGATGATAAAATAATAAATATAATAAAATGTTAGTTTTGTGATAATGCACATATAATGACAATTCAGCAGCTATAATGGGTAGGTAGATAATATTTGAAAGTTGCTATCATTTCATAATTACTACTATAGGGTATTGTAAAAACAATAATAATAAAAAAACAACAACAACAACAACAATAATAATAATAATAATAATGTTGTTGATGATGACACGATGGCATGACGAAATGTTAATTGTATTAAATTATGAAATTGTACCATTTCAATTCCATGAACGAGCAAACATGCATGCATATAAAAACTAGCTAAGAAACAAAACAAACAAACAAACAAACAAATACATACAGACTAAAGCAAAAAAACTGAAATAAAAACATTACAGATTCTCAGCGAAAAATAATCACAGAAAAATTTCCTTTGATGACAACAAAAAATAAAAATTTTTTATAAGTCTTTGATGATTCGCAGCTATGGCGGTGATGACGATGACGCTGCTGTTGCTGCTACTGCCGCCGCCGATGATGATGATGGTTCTGATGATGGTGGTGGTGGTGGTTAAGATGATGATGATGAGGAGGAGGAGGATGAGGAGGAGGATGACAATGTTGATAATGATAGTGACGATGAAGAAAAAATAACTGGAGCGAAAAAGATGTTGACATCCAAAACTGATGATGATGATGTCACGTTGATTCTTAGTTCTGATTGGTCAACGAGAGTCATCAGCATCAAAATGTGGGCGTTCCTATTGCTGACTACTGGCCAATCAGATGAATTCTATATGGAATGGCTTAGATAAAATTATATAAATTTTAAGTTCACCTTTCAAAATAATTTTTAAAATTATTTCAACATTAATTTTTCATATTTTTTAAAACCGTTAAGAATATTATGTACAAATTTAAATTAAAACCTAAAAATGTTGTAACGACATAAATACACAAAGTTGTAAAAAATGTTTTTGTCAATGTTGTTAATATTGATGTCAGTTCTAAATATATCGACGATGGCGTCACTAAGTAGTCACTCACTTAACGATGATGATGATGATGAAGATGGTGATGATGAAGATGGTGATAAAGCAGATGAGCATCGTCATAAACAACACCAACATCAACCATCAAATCACGAACGAACGTTGCCTTACGTTCATCTCATTCATAATCAGCGTAGTCAAGTGGGTACCAACGCAGATAACATTAATAGAAACAACACAAATGCTAATATCAACATCAATTACACTAACAACGACAAAGACATCAACAACAGAAACAACAGTAGCAGCAAAAACATCAACGACAACATCATCGTTAAAAACAATGACATCAACAACATCAGCAACATTAAATTAATGATGACAGCCTGCAATTACAGCTCGGCCAACATGTGAGTAAACAACAAACAATCTACATCTTCGCTTTCATCGTCATAATCACACACACGCACATCACACTGATGTCATCATCAGTGTTGTCATCATCAGCATGTCATCAACATCATCATTTACATCCTCATCTTAGTAACTATTATCATTATCAACATAATCAGCAACTTTCTTCTTCTTCTTCTTATTATTATAATCATTATTATTAATACTATTATCATCTATGTTGTCATCGTCGTCGTCATCATCTCTTCATCAAACACACAGCTCAGCGTACAATTATCATTTCGTGATATATTTTTTTTTCTAATCACATCAGCGCAAGAAAACATATTGTCCTTTGATGTGTGCGTATATGTTTTTGCGTCTATTATACATATGTATTTGTATATGTGTACACATTCATATGTTTAGGTTTACGTGTATTTGTATATGTGTGTGTACATACATGTATTTGTATATGTGTGTGTACATACATGTATTTGTATATGTGTACTTATTAGAAATTATGAACACTCGTGTTTTCGTACTTTGTAAGCCGGTATTGTATTCTTGTATGTTTAATGGTATGTGCACTCATTTGTATATTTCTTTGTGTTTGTTTGTTTGTCTGTCTGGCAGTTTGTTTGTTCGTTTGCTTGCTTGTCTTTTTCTCTATGTTTTTTGATTATTTGCGTTTTTTTTATACATTTTATTCATATATTCACTGTCTGTCACAATCTGCCTTACAAACAAATTACTCAATTTAATGTTACTTTTTTGTTACTGCTTTTGTACTAGTACGAAGCGTGTATAAGTATACATTACTACAACTACAGCTACAACATCCTTTGCAATGCATCTAGTGTCGTCACCATTACTACCACAACAATTAATTTTAGAATCAGTCAAAAAAGCCACAAATCACCTGCTTTGGTATGATTGATCCTTTCTTGCTGGCCCTTGCCACGAGGTCTTCATGTATTATTTTCTTTTGCTGCTGATTCACTTTTAAATATTAACTCATACATAGAATACAACTGAATGTAAATGTTGAATGATGCAAGGCAGTTTAGTTTGGCTAAAGTTATATAACTTGTATGTGGGCGGTTTCATTTTTTATACTTGTAAGCAGATAAAAAAATTTTAACTGAAACATTTTGGGGTTATGTATGTAGAAATACACTATTTGAAGCTATTCTTAAATGTCTCAACAGTTGATGTTTAATTATTTTAAAAAATTTGTTAACACCACAAACCATTTCAATATCAGTGAGTTTGGCGGCTGAGCTAGCTGGAATAGCAACAATGCAAAAACCAGGTAAGTGTCAGTGAAAGTTAACCCGAATAAATAATTCTTTTGCGATTTCAACTTAAAATAGTGGCAAGTAAAATAACACATAAAATAATGGCAAGTGATTGAAAGAGACTTTCAATTAAAATTTTAAATCATCTTGCAAGAAAATTAATTTATAGTAAACTTAGCTCGAGTTTCATGTGATAGCTAGGCTAACATTATGCAAAAACTGCAATTGCAAAGATGTCAATGATTCAAAATGCTCATCAACTTTTATATATATGCCAATGCCAGTCACTCAATAGAAAGTCATTGTACGTTAGTCTATTGTTATTTTAGATGATACTTAGCACCTGAATTCGTTTAATTTCTTTTCACAATTAAATTTGCAATCATATCAATAATGCTCAAAAAATAGTTAGTTCTTTGTTTAGGTTAAAATTATAAAAATACTCGAAATTAAAAACTTGACAAAATTAGCTACAACATAATGAACTATTAACGAAGGAAGAAAAAATACACGGCATTTGTAACATTGATTTGATTTGCAAGCATGTGGTGAAACATTTCGTTATATTAAAATGTCATGAAACCTCCTTGGAATGTTAAATATACCTATTAAACACGTATACACATACATATGTGTGTTTTTTATAAACCTGCACATGTTTATTTATCAAGTATTCACATATGTTTGTTGAGTAACGGCGCACATAAACACGCGCAGGCGTGTATGCTTGTATAAAACAAATTTGTATGTAGAAAACAGTGTATTTGATGAAGGAACATGTTATTATGATCATTAGATGCCATTACCTTGCTTGCGAGTATGTATTTATTTTCCAACTGTATGCGTATGTTCCTATGTATACATTCCTGATTGATTTCCTGCGTGTGTGTGTGTGTGTGTCTGTCTGTCTGTGTGTCTGTTTGTGTGCTTATGTTTGTTTCAGTGTGCGCGTGAGCATGTTTGTGTGGGTAGTGTTCATATGTTGTTGCAGGAATTTAAAAAAAATATTTTATACAAATTTTCAGAGCTGAATTTAAAACAGGTTAGTCTGGGCAGATGCTCTGAGATCTCTACTAAAGAAGGGTCCTCAAAGAATGGAGATACACATTTTAAAGCATGTTTTGTTCTGTTGTGTTGTCCACCGAAACGGCAAGGACGTTGCGTCGCTAGTAAGTGACATTGGGTGCGCAGAGTTTAGCACAATGGGTTGGTTTCAATTCTCTGGATGTTGCTGGATGACTTATAAGTCGACGTCTGTAAGAGGCATTTGTCCATTCCAACATAAGACCTATGAGACCAGCTTCACAAATCTTCTTCCATGTAGACCGATCTTTCGCTATTTTTTCAAGTCCAGGCGAGTTGATGTTACATCTCTGAAGTACGCTTTTCACTTGATTCACGAATCGCTTCCTTGGCCGACCGACAGGACGAGAGTCATTTAATAGTTCGCTGTACAACAATCTGCTAGGTAGACGTAACTCCGCCATGGGAATAATATGAACCATCCATCGCAGTTGTTGTTGTAACAACAATTTTAAAGCATAGGTGGGTTTTAAAGGGTCACTAATTTTTTCAGAACAGTTTTTTTGCAATTTTGCCGGTGTAATGGTTGCATAAACGTAATAATAAATAATATTGCATTTTAGGAAAAACATTAACAACACACACACACATACACACACACACAGTTATATACAAAGACGCATGCGATGGTACAAAATTACACAAACAAGCAAACAAGAAACATGCGAACACTCACTTTAATTAGCATCTTCTTTTAATCATTCTTATTATTTTATTCTTCAAATAATTGTCGTCTGCCCGCGCAAATGCAAAATCAATTAAAATGCTCTTCCTTTAAATGCATCTTTGTTTTTGGCAGCGGTATGTGTTGGTACATGTAATTTTAATTAGGACACAACTATAATTAGCAGTAGTTTCGCCAAACTGAGGTAGTTCCTGTAAATAACTTGCGGTAAATTTTTATTTAAAATAATTGAGCCAACAATTTTTCTCATCTAAAATACACACAGCCAAACAAAAACCAATTTTAATGAGAAAAATAAAAATAAAATTAATTAAAATTTGTAAATGGATTACGAAGATTACCAAGAAAAGCTTGTTTACAGAGTTTATTGTAGTTACACAAAACTCCAGGCAACAAGAGAAAGCTATACAGAAACAGGAAAAAGATTTGTTGGACGTTTAAAAACTATGTAACAGATGAAGCACAATCAATTCACATGAATAAATAAATAAAAATAACAGCAAATATGTAACAGGTGAAACATCAAAGTTTTATTTCTAACAAAATTTTCCATGTCAGCATCTAAGTAACAGATATCAAACCAAGCAGGTAGAACGAACGGAAGTTGTCAATTTACATTAAAAAAACAGGAAATTAATACTTATCTATAAACATGTACTAAATCCGGCTAACAGAAAAATAATAATTGAATAGATTAATAACTAACAAAAACAATTGATTAAAAATAAAAACAAAGAATGAGTAAATCTAGAATGTAATATGAAAATTTTTTTACAGAAAAACTTAATAAGCATGGAATATTTTCGAATGTACCAGATTAACTGAAATGTACGAAGCGAAAGAAATGTCCTAAAGCACTGGTTAATAGTCGCAGAATTTAATAAGAGGCCAGGCTAATAGGCGGTTCACATTTGTTTTTTTCTCTATATTTCTAAATGATTGTTATTAAAAAGTTGTTAGTATGTGTTATGATGTATATATGTGTTGGGTAATATATGCTTAAATGTATGTGTTGTGTTATATATGTTTGAATGTATGTGTTATGATGTATGTATGTGTTGTGTAATATATGCTTGAATGTATGTGTTGTGATGTATGTATTTATGTATGTGTTATGTCCGTGTTATACAAGTTATTTAGCCACGCAAGCAACTGAGCAAGCGCTATAAACACACACAAACACACACACTAGCGTGCATACATGTATATACATACATACATACATACATACATACATACATACATACATACATACATACATACATACATACATACATACATACATACATACATACATACATACATACACACACACATACATACATACATACATACATACATACATACATACATACATACATACATACATACATACATACATATATACAAAATACGTACGTACGTACATACATACATACATACATACATGGATGTGGTTTATGCATGGTTTCATGCAAATCTATCGGGGGATATGCATCTTTCCATCATTACTCCTATTCCGTATAAGCAAAAGATATCAAGAACAAATTGAAAGATGGAAAAATAAAAAAGAAAGAAAGGAAGAAAACAAATTATAATATTTGAAGAGAATGTAAAAAAGACTAAGAGAAAGAGCGAAAAAAGAAGACAACAGCAGAGAGAGAGAGAGAGAGAGAGAGAGAGAGAAACAGAATGGAAGAAGAAATAAAGAGTAAAAGAGATACAGCTGTCTATTGATGCTTCATTAATGATGCTGTGCAAGTGGAAGATAATACTTGTGTATGTAGTGTGTGTGTAGTTGTGTGTGTGTGTGTGTGTTTCCTTCTCTCTCGCTCTCTCTCTCTCTCTCTCTCTCTCTCTTTCTCTCTTTCTCTCTCTCTTTCTCTTTTTCTGTGTGTGTGTGTATGTGTTACTTAAACATGTTGGTTTATAACGCAAAGAATGTCAATGAATGAAACAATGAAACTAGGTTGTTTAGTGTATGACCTCATACAAACGTTTAAAAATTGTAAAACCATCATTAAAACAATGCTTGCAGCATCTACAAAAACCTCAACAAAGGATCTTACATTTCTACATACGGACTCACTCAGACAAATCTTTCTAAACCAATTAACATTTTTGACTCAACCAAATAAATTCCATGGACGTATGTTTAACAAACAAACAAACATATAAACACATAAACAAAGCACATGAACAAGGATGATAAGAAAAACAAACATCGATAAATCAAGACATGTGGTGACGTCATTTTTATTGCTTGTGACGTCATAGCGTTTCCCACGTGTGATGTAATCGCTGCCATCACATTGACGATGATGACATCCACCAAAATGATGACGACGACGATGAGGATGAAGATGGTGATGGAAATGGTGTAGAAGTGATGGTGATGAAGGATAACAAAAAGAACAAAAAGATCTTATATAATTTGTGTCTTGGCTGATAACATGGTTTTGTGAACGTAATGTCATTTCTGACGTCAAAAGATTGATATAATAAAAATGAAATTGCTTTTAATATTTAATTTTGAATTCTAGCTCCAACCAATCCGCTTCGAGTATTCCAAACCGATCAACCAACAAGAAATATGATTGGTTGGCTTCCAGTTTAAAAAATTTCAAATCATCAAATCCAAAAAAGGGTTAGCCAAATTCATTAAAATTTGCTTTAACAAAATTATTTTAAAAATTTTTATTATTTTTGAGTTTTGTTTACTTAAAAATTTTGCTGTTAAAATGAGAAGTAGTAATTGTGTAGGATCAGCAGTAGCAGTGCTAACGCTCGTGTTATTCTTATAAACGTACATATATTATTATTTAAATGCAAATGATTACATGACAAACAATTTACACAATTGAGCAGTGCATACACACACACACGCACCACACGTACATAGACACACACACGTACATAGACACACACACGTAAACATATGCAGTCCTCGTTGTTGTTTAATTAAGAAGATCAGGTGTCCCACGTACGAAATCAAAAACTCCTCTCTAATTAATTAACATTGCAAAACACACGCACTTGCAGATTCAAATACACGCACACGCAAACGTACACATAAAAACGCACATAAACGTAAAAACACACAAACGCATACAAATTCACACAGACGCACAAACGAACAGACACGCACACGTACGCAGAGATGAATAAACACAGCCGCATAAACCGCACACGCAATCAAAGTTGCACGATTCACGCGGCATAGATATATAATTCCAACGTCGACACCAAAGAATAAAAATTACAGGAAATCCCCCACATGCCTGACGCATGCCCAGTGAACACGTGACCAGTGATGCGTGGCTAATTTAATATGATGTCATGAACTCGTACGTGCACACACATACAAAAACACATACAAACATATCCACACATCAACATATCAATCACACACATACATAGGCACATACGTTGAATAATCATTGAAGCATTCCTCTTTCTTTACAGCAAACACATGTGTATGCAATGTTTACAAAACTTATGCAACGCTTTCTCTTACAAAAGACTACAAAAACACTAAAACTGGCGTTCCAAATTAGGCAAATTGGGCAAAACGAATCTGAGTGTCAGTTGTGCGAATGCCTGCAAACGGAAGTCGGAAATACCGCGGGCTAAAAATAGAAATTTGTCCGGGTGCAACTAATGAACGCAAGTCATTATAAATGTAAATGTCAGTTTTAAGTTGATGTTGTTGATGGCAGTGTTGTTGGTGTTGTTGATGACAGTGTTATGATGTGTTTGTGTAGTTGTAGTTTGCACGGCTGATGCTGGCGCTTTGATGTGATTGCCGTATTTGTTTATGTTACTGTCATGGCGTTTTAGTACATAAAACCTTTTAAAAATGTTGCCGAAAGATTTTCATATTTCTATCAATTCGTATCATTTCCAACCAACCAGCAAGCTCTCTTGCCGTTTTCAAAACTCTTGTTGTTAATAGAAATTATCGCGATTGTATCTCTATCATCATATTATCCTTCCATCGTCCTCATCATAAACATTATCATCACCATCATCGTCGTCATCACTGTTCATAAACATCATCATCTTCATCATCACAAATATCATCATCATCATAATAAATATCATCATCATCAATAATATCATAATCATCATCGTCATCATTGCATCGTGACTACTACTACTACTACTACTACTACTACTACTACTACTACTACTACTACTACTACTACTACTAGTACTACTACTACTATCACCACCACCACCACCATAATCCTCATCATCATCATCATTGATGTTGTTGCTGACAGTGTGCGTTCATCATTATCATCATAAATATTATCATCATCATAAATATCACCAACCTCATCATCATCATCGTCATTATCATTACATTGTGACTACCATCATCATCATTGCATCATCATCATCATCATGATAATAATCATACAGTACGTATTATTCACGCATGGATTGATTCGAAGGCGGTACTTGCTTTCATGTACTACATTACATACATACATATTACATACGCGTACCTACATGGTACTTACCTGCTTGTCTCTCGCTGTCTACTTACTCAAGCGTGAGGATGGCGATGATGAGGATGATGATGAGGATGAAGATGAAAATAGTGATGGTGATAAAGATGAGAATGATGGCAATGATGAGGATGGTGATGAGGAAGATGAGAATGGTGATGATGGCGATGGTGGTGGCGATGATGGCGGAGAAAAAGAATAGTGGTGAAGATGACGAAGATGA